TCTTTCAGATTAAGTCAAACATAAATATTTGCTGGCTCAGTTTAAATCAACCATAATATTTATTCTGATACTTCTTCTAGTAGACTTTCTTCTGGCTCATATTAGATCGAATGTAGATCTATTCTGATACTTCTTCTAGTTGAAGACATTTTCTGGCCCAGATAAAATCGAGCATAGGTTTAGTCTGATACTTCTTCCAGATAAAACCGAACATAGGTTTAGTTTGATACTTCTTCCAAATAAAGACGAGCATAAACATCCTCTGGCTCAGATTAAATCGACTAAAGATTTATTCAGATACTTCTCCTGGCGGACCTTTTTCTGGATCAGAATAAATCGACCAAAGGTATATTCTGATACTTCTTCTAGTTAAAGACAAAGACACCTCTTCTGGCTTAGATTAAATCGACCAAATATTTAGTCTGATACTTCTTCCAGTTGAAGACAGTCACATATAGCTTCTGGCTCAGATTAAATCGACTAAAGATTTATTCTGATACTTCTACCAGTAGACCTTTTTCTAGCTCATATTAAATCGACCAAAGATTTATTCTGATACTTCTCCCAGTTAAATTCAAGGCAATATTTTTTGGCTCAGTTTAAATCAACCATAGATTTATTCTGATACCAGACATCTTCTGGCTCAGATTAAATCAACCATATATTTAGTCTGATACTTCTTCTAATTGAAGTCAACAGTTACTTCAGATGGAATCTATAATCCCATCTCCGATGACTCTCCCGTCACCTCTCCAAATGGAATCCATAAGCTCATTCCAGGTATAATAAACCAACAACATTACCTCTTGCACGGGCGGATGCAAATTTCTGGGCACTTAAGTGTTCAATCCTCTTCTACTTGCAGGTTGCAAATGGCGGACATGCCAATCTAACTCTTCTGGTTTAAGAAGATTGAACAGGGGAAGCTTTTGTACCCCAAAATTTTCCCTCCCTATTTTCTTCAAGACATTCTTCAAGGCTTCTCAAATACTCAAGAATCTTAAAGGATGACCAGTCAACTCACCTCCTAAGCCAAAGGTCTACAATTAGGGTTTTGAGTTTCTCAAGGAAATTTGGGTTGAAAAGATCTCAAATGATTTCCATGTTTCATCATAGGTCCTCAACAAGGTTCATGTCAAGTTTCAAGTCTTGCATCACAAGTTTGTGCAGTCAATGGCTCAGATGATTGAAAATCAATTGTATGGGGTAAAAAGTCAACTATGGTCAACAAACAGTCAAACTTCAAGATTTTTTGTCAACATCAACATTTTGAAGTGATATTCATAATTTTATCATGGTTTAATCATGGGTTGTAGGTTTGAGCCTGGCACAGGATATTTTTGCATTTTTTTTGTTTTCATTCCAGATCCAATGCAAACAGGTCAAGTAAGCTCACCATGTATATTCAGGCCATGACCCTCAGATCTAAGAAGACTCAGATCCAACGTCCCAAGTCCGTACCCCATGATACACCACTCAGAAGGCAACCATAGAGGATCATTCAGCGCATCTTGGGCCTCCTTGACATGGGCCTTGAGAATTCTGAAGCGCACCCCCCATTTTCTTTTCATAACGCAGCTCATAGATTTTTTTTAATGATTTTATTTTGATTTAATTCTTTTATTTTTTTAATTACAAATTTTCAGATAAATTCAAAAATAAATAAATGAAATAAAAAATTAGGTTTAGGATTTAATTAATTAACTTTATTATCACAATAAAAATTAATTAATTTAATCACTTTAAGTTTATTTTTATTAATTTAAATTTAATTAGAATTAGGCTTTAGTTATCATGAATTCTTTTTCTAAATAAAACCACCAAAAAGATTTTTCTTATACTTAGAATTTTTAGGTTTCTTAATACTCTTTTCCTCTTCAATCTTCACGCGCTCGTTTATTGTTCACATCTTTGTGAATATTTTAACTGTTCAAAGGGATGTAATAACTTGAACTAGGTCTCTTTACATTTTCCCCCCATTTGAGGTTTTGTACTCCCTATCCCCGAAGCACTGTAATAGTGTATTTTACTTTCCTGCATTTTTACTTCTCGTACTACTGTACTGACTGTCTGCATATATAATTGTATAGTTTAATAGGATTGCATGATAAGACTTAAAAATAAGCGGTAGAAAACTTAACATTCAAGATAAAATAACTGAAACATAACACACTTCGCACACGTGCACCTCTAAGGTACCCCCACTTGTTGCCTTCGGAAAACAACAGTCACGTCTCTCAAACGTAAGAAATTTTAGCAAAGACCCTTTGGTTAAAAGATCATAGTCCCTCGATGACCCTTCGATGTTGCCTTGGTAAATGATCTTAATACCTTAGGGTAATTGCTAAAGTGTCTTACGAGTTGTTTTCGTGACTGTACGATGACCCGCGCTTGTCCCTCAAAACATCCAATGATAGGGTTACCTACTAACTAATAGTAAGACAACACTGTCTAAAGGAAAAGAGGAAAAGAATAAACATCTTTTGAGTAGGTAGATAGCTTGTAGTTGCTTGATCACAAAACCAAAATAGTTTCTCACACACTCTCTTTTCTAAAAAATTTCAAAGACAAAACACTTTGTATTCGTTCTCAACGATACGAGAATCATTACAAAGTTTGCCGCACTAAGACATCTTTTCAAAATATTTTCAAAATACACTTACACAAAAAAAAGCATTTTCAAAAGTGAGCTAGCAACTAAGAGTTCGTAGATAAATACAGATGAAAATGGTGCTAACCCCTTCCCTTTTCATAACCTACCCCCTTACTCAGAAAAGTTCTCGAAAGGTCTTTCCTGTTCTTTTCACCCTTTCCTTTAATTGATAAAAGAAAATCCGGTGGCGACTCTTGCTAACCGCAACATTTTGCGATAAAATGCAAAACCAGTAAAGTCAGTTCTCCCACCGTATTACACAGAGAAACGTTCAAAATTTTTTTGAGTAACATTCAAAATCGTTGTTAGAGAATCGTCACAGAGAAATCTGTTTTGAGAACGAAAACCTTTGAGTTTTAGGGTTTTCGTTTTTTTAATTTAGAAATAAGACATTAATGACCTTAGGCAGCGCTTTTTAGAAAGCCCTTTCTGATGTATTACCTTTAACAACGCTTTCTCATTAAAAAGCGCTTTCTGATGTATGCCATATAGCAACACTTATATGATGCACTTTCTAAACACATCCTTTAGCAGTGCTTTGTGGGTATGTATGACCTTAAGCAACACTTCTTAAAAGCCCTTTCTAAAGTAGGCCTTTAGCAGCGCTTTTTCTCAAATTTATTTTAAGGCTATAACAGTGCTTTCTAAAGTAAGCCTTTAGAAGCACTTTGGGCCTATGACAACGCTTCCTACTGTTGGGCCTATAGCAACGCTTTGAGTTTAGGAAGTGCTTCTAAAATTTTTTTTATTTCAATTTTAATTGACCTTAGGCAGCGCTTTCATAAAGTATTTCCTAAAGTGAGGCTTAGGAAGCGCGTTTTCTTCACTTTAGGCGGCGCTTTTTTCCAAAGCGATGTCTAATATGTATAATTTAAAATTTAAAATTTATCGTGACATATAGCAGCGCTTTGATATACAAGCGTTGTCTAAAGTGCGCTGCCTAAGAGCTATTTTGGTGTAGTGTAGTCATGGTTGAGGGCTGACACAACCGACATCATCGATGAACTTGGGGTTATTTTGATCATGTTAATAGTCATGGTTGAGGGCTGACACAACCCACATCATCAATGAATTTGGGGTTTATTTTGATCATGTTAACAGTCATGGTTGAGGGCTGACACAACCGACATCATCAATGAATTTGGGGTTTATTTTCTTCATGTTGATAGTCATGGTTGAGGGCTGACAAACCGACATTATCGATGAACTTGGGGTTTATTTTCTTCATGTTGATAGTCATGGTTGAGGGATGACATAACTGATATCATTGATGAATTTAGGGTTTATTTTCTTCATATTGATAGTCGTGGTTGAGGGCTGACACAATCGAAGTCATAAGTGAATTTAGGTTCCATCGCTTCAGATCTAGCATATTTGATTTGGTTATCAAGTCGTGGTTGAGGGCTGACACAACCAACATCGTCTTTCTAAGTTCCAAATATCTAGTTTCAAACTTCTATTATCTATCCTTTTGGTTGTGATAGGTACACAAAAAATCTCTGGCTCATTGCATTAGTCTCTAAGCAACAATGTGTTATCAAGCTTTATGTTATTCATCCCCTAGGTTGAGATGAATGTACAGAATCCGCATAACAAACTCACTATATTAGTCCCCTAGCATTAGTAAGTCGGCTTTTCAAACTTGTATCATTTACCTTCTAGGTTATGGTAAATATGCAAAATTCTACAATCTCTATTAGATACCGACGAGTCATCCACATCATCATGTCTAAATTAAACCAACTTTGGTTCAAACTCCGGCAAGATGATACATAATCATCTATGCCTATTCTTCATACTCATGGGAATGTTGTACATCGTATCCTTATAATCTCTCAAAAAAATCTCGGGGTCTTCTAATATTTAAACTTCTGATTAAACGTGCGAGACCTGCGTATTCTTGTATTATTCAATCGAAAGATGATTAAATAGGGGCAGTCGTCATACCCCAAATTTTCCCTACCCTTATTTAGGATTCTATTTAAATAAATCATATTGTAGGAGGGTGTTTAAAATCAAAGAGGGGTGTAATGATCCAAAATGGACCATTAATATCTGATGGCCCATTAGGTTTTTAAAAGAGTTCATTTCAAGTTAAAAAAGGAGGTGCATTGTTATATATGGGTTTGTATTTTAATTAAATGCTGGTGGGCTTTCTAAAATCAGAAAGACCATTTTTAGCCTCCTGGCCCATTACAAGTTTTTTTAGAGGCCCATATTGCATTTTTTTGAAAGCCCGTTGCGGTTTTTGTTTGTAAGAAATTGCATTTTTCCCTTTCTTTTTACTTACTAAACATTATCATCCGTTAACATTACATGATATCTTAGAGGCCATTATTTTATAAAACTAAACAAGTTGTTTTATTAAAATTTGAAGAAACAATGCTTGATTAATGTGGGACCATCGTGTGGTCCTTGTTACCGGTCCAAAGCCCAAATCCAAAGAACAAGTCCGACCCAGTCCAAAGAAAAAGCATGGCCCAAGTCGCAAACACCTACTGTGCGAATCAATCATAGAAGCAGAATCAGATCTTGTATTCAAACCCTTTCCAGAACAGTCTTGAACTAAAGCAGAAACAAATCTTGGATTAACACAAAAGCAAAACCGGATACGGAAACAGAGCTCAAAACAGAAACAAATAATATTGGCATTCATGGTTTTAATCAATACAAAGTCAAACTGATTACAACAGAATAATATTATTTCCTAAATCTAATCCTAAAAATTGCTATAAAACCTAACAACTAAGGACAGTAGAGAGGGGGATAGAATTTATAGAACAAAGAAGATTACAGTTTACAGAGGCAAAGAAATTATTACAGACAGGGAGGGAATTGACAGAATACTGAAACAAATTGTTACAGGGGGAGAGAGTTGTTACAGAGGGGGGACCGAAAAATGCAGAGAAAAATCTAAATCCCTCTTTCATGAAACCTTGTGTCATTACCCTCACCGGAGCTACCCTCAATGAAGACCTTATTTTTACACTAGTAAATAATTATAATATTTTTATCAAAAATATCTAGTATGCTTTAATAAACTTATTATATATTTATTTAAGCTCTTTTTTTTAAAGAATACTAACATATTTGCATCAAATATTTTTCTATTCAAATTAATTTATTTTCATAATTGCATTGTATATTTTAAAATAGCTAACCAATAAACACTAACATTTTTATTCACTAACATAATAAAATTTATATTTATTTTCAAAAAGGGTTGTATTAACATATTTTATCGACTGCGAGCTATGTCCACGATTCTGCAATTTACAAACCTAGACTTGGTTTAAGGAGAATTCGAGGTTATTCTACGACCCATAAAAAATACTAACCAAACAACTGCGAACTATGAATTGAGACTTTGATTCCTCATAAGAGGATACGTAGGCATACGATTAAAATCATGGTGAGTCCCCCTAATTAAAATTTAAACCCTTTTCCCCAAATAAAACAATAAAAACCCTATTTCCTAAAAATCTTCTAAACCTAGTATCCTTGTGAACAAGGTAGATGAGGGGTGTCTAACACCTTCCCTTCGTCTAGAACTGAGTCCAATCTAGAATCTATGAATTTTTTTAGGGTTATTCCTTTATATTCCATTCCTTAGGATAAAAATTAAGGGTGGAGACTCTGTATTTAAAACTAGTTGCAAAAAACACCACACGAGGGAGAGATCCCTGGCAAAATCCCGGTGCAATCTCTCCCCAAAACCAACAAATCTTATTATAGAAAAGATTTGTCAATGTACTACAATACCACTTATCATGTCAAAGCTAGTATCCAAGAAACCCGCTTGTTTTGTGCGAAAGAAAGTGAACTCTTCCACATAGATTCAACATTCTTATCAAATATTTATAAATAGTCATCAGGGGCACGAAAAAATGCAGGTACCAGTCGAAACTGTAAGTATTAATTTAGTTGACCGCAAGTTCTATCATGATTTTTCCTAAAAAAGGGCAGATGTGACAAAAGTATGAACAAAAAAAGAGTGAACATTGGTAAGACACGTCAACATTGGCCGATGAACAAAAAAAGAGTGAACATAAAAACCAAATCGATCTTCTAAAATTTGAAAAAATTGATATATTACCAAATGTGACAAATGTATGAAGAAATTTGAACGAAATACTTAGCACTAACATGCACTTTCACATGCACTTCCAATAAAAGTAACATAGTTGCCAATAGTTTCTGACAGTGGCGTGCTGTCACAGATGATCAATAGTAGTAATAGTCTTCTTGAACTTGGTCAGCTGCAAAAATATAAGATCCATTAAAATTTGTGGTCCTTCCAAATACAAATGTGAAAGTAAATGATTCTATTAATTGGTGATCATTTTCAGTTTCAATTCATTGGTAATTCATTTTTCTTAAGCAGATAAAATACATAATAAAAATAAGATGTACCAAGATTCCACAAGAGTAATTGGGAAGCCAAATAGTTAAGAACTCAGAAAAGATTTGAAGTCTAACCTTCAAGATTTTCCCCCAACTTGCTTGAGCATCAGCTTCTTTGTTAGAACCCTTAAAACATTTAAAAAAAGAAAGGCATTTGTTAAAACTACCATATAATGAGGGAAAATATACAGTACTAATGACAGTGGTGCCATAGATCAAAACTCAATTAAGAAAGATGGCAATTTGACAAACATTCTTTCATTGTGTAAATAAACAAAATAGAGCAAATGGTATACCCTAGGAACATGTTGAACACTGACTAACTTGAAGTTATCTTTCAAGTACAAAGCCTCATTACGCATGTCCCTTAAATTAGGGTCGTTGACTTTCCAATTACCCGCAAATGATTGCAAAACAAATCAAATATTATGGTAAATTCCTTATAAAAAGGAAACTAACCTTCTCGCAAACAAGCTTGGAATCGCCTCAGATTTCAACATGATCATACCCTTTGTTACTGGCTTCTTTCAATCCCAAAATTAAACCTTAATACTCAGTAGAATTATTTGTTTGAGTGTCCAGTCCTCGACTGAAGTGTTGGACCTTTAAAGAAATCCAAGAGTTATCTATATTTGATACATAATTTATATTATATAATTACAAATATGAATCGATACATAAAGTATACACCTCATTCCCAGAACGTAGTACAGCTCATGCACCAGATTTTCCAGGATTTCCAATGGATACACCATCGAACTCGAGGGTACAATAACACTGCAAGATAAAACAGAGTTATGATGCTAAAAATTTATAAGCCATTAGTGTGTGAGTGTGTCTGCTATAGAGCATTGTGTACAAACAAATAAAATAATAAGTAAATTGACATCTTAAGTTAAAATATCAAAACTAAGCTTAAATTTAAAATTTACAAGAGCAAATAAATTAATTGTGTTAACATATTTCGAATAAGCAAAGATCTATAGAAAAGCAAAACGGTGGGTACCCTAAAACCCTAATTTCTTTTGTCGTTGGCTATAGATCTATCACTTAAATCGCCGATGATAGTTTCACAGAGCTTCAAATCCTAAAACCAAAATAATTAAATTGAATTGAAATGACGAAGAAGAAAAAGAGAGAGGCATCAGAATAAGAAGAGAGTAATGGATGTCGAAATCGTTTTCGAATATGGAATATGAAATAGAAAGTGTTTTGTGAAACCGTGACATCCTTGTCATCTGAAATCGCCGATGAACATGGAGAAGATTGGAAGTTGGAAAACCCCAAACAATAAAGGAAGGAGGATTTAGGAAAACAATTGAGAAACCGTTCTGAAACCATGAATTGAATTTCATAACCGCCAACGAAACAGAAAAGATGAGGAAAGTAGAAGGGTTGGAATTGAAGTTTTGTAACCGACATATTTTGGAGAACGAAAAGAAAGACAATATCAGGATAAATATTTGAAGAAAAATAAGGTTGTGTGGCAAACAGAATTCTGGCTCGTAAGGAAGCCATGTGTCAAATGCAAAATCAGTGTAAAGGAATCATAAACTTTTCTTATATTATAGATAGTAAAAAAATTAAAATTTCAATATTTTTAATATACACTAATTATAAAGTTAGAAATTGAATTATATATAATTATTGATAGTAAATAGCGAGTAATGGTGCATTAATTATACAATTAAATATCATATTTTTATATAATTATATATAACTAATAGTGAAAAATTAAAAATTAAAAATTTGATATGACACCGATAATAAAATAAGATTTTAAATTGTAGATAATACGTGATACTAATAAATAGTGAAAAATTGAATTTTCATTTATTATTTTTAGGATGTAAAATATTTTTGTTTACTTAATTATTTGTAAATTTGTAATTATGGTTTTATTTGTAAATTATAATTAACTTTAAAATATTTTATTTACTTAAAAAAAATTTAACTCGTGCGAAGTACGGATATAAATAGTAGTTATGATCATAACATTTTATTACAGTAATTTATAATAAATGCATAAGTATAATTTAGTAATGTAGAAACCGCTAAATAGTAATAGACGATTGAATTAAGTTACTTAAAAAAATACCATTAAGAATGTTTTAATAAGACCAAATGACACTCACTGGAGTTTCTTTGTTACTTCGGTGAAGACCAATTATTTTTGGAAACAGCAAAATGAGAACAAGTAGATCAAGGAGTGATAGTGATTGATTCCATGCATATGGTGATGGATTCCTGTTGAACAAGTCAATAATATTGTATGGTTGGAGAGCAGAATTCATTCAACATCAATATGAAATTAATCTTGACTTCCAAAAAGACTTGGGTTTTTCTATGTGTATGTTTTTGGCAAAAGACAAAAGACTTTGAAATGATTTGTAGAAAAAAATAAGGTAAAACGAATCTATCTTGTTAGAAATTGTTAAAATCTATGATGAATTTCTATCAATTTTGATGAACAAGATTGTTATAATCACACAATAACAATGAAAAGAAGAAAATTTAAAACAGAGAAAAATTAGGGTTTCTGTAGAGTTTCTCTCTATCTACAAACTGTAGAAAATTTTATTCATTTTGCAACTGCAAAATTCTGTGAATACAACTTGATTACAAAAAATAGAGGTTACTCCATCTATTTATAGATTTATGTTAGCTTTCTCCCTAAGTTAAAATGTCCAAAACTATAAAAGCCTAAAATACCTATTTTGAATCTAAATCGAATCTATTTATTTTAAACTTAAATCAAATCTATCTATTTTAAATCTAAATCAAATATGTGTGTAACAATCTGTTTTCACACTTTGATAGACTAATCCGACACATCTTGTGTCGAGCAACACACTGCTTTCGACACAAGAAATTACATTTTCAACACACTACCTAATTCATTGTGTCTAAGCTATCTATATTCATCATAGCTCTTAGTCTTTTAAACACTGCGACCTGCACACCCTTCGTCATGATGTCTGCAATCTGATTCTCAGTTCTGCAGTGTTCCAAGTTCATCTTTCCATCTGTTACCTGCTCTCGAAGACAGTGAAACCTCATTTTGATATGCTTGCTTCGACCATGTGCTATCGGGTTCTTTGCGAGGTTGATAATTGACATGTTGTAGATCTTCATGGTAATTACTCCATGTTCTTTCTATGTGATTTCTTCGACCAAGTTCACCATCCATGTTGCTTGACATGCACAAAGAGAAGCAGTTATGTACTCTGCTTCACATGATGATAATGCCACTACTGGTTCTTTTCTCAAACTCCAAGCAATTTGTACACCACCTAGCATAAACACATATCCTGCTGTGGATTTTTGATCCTCGGCATCACTACACCAACTCGAATCAGTGTATAACACTAACTTGCATTCTTTTCCTTTATTAGTTGCAGGAAACAAAATACCATAGTCAAGGGTTCCTTTCAGATACCTCAGTATTCTCTTTGTCGCTGCTAGGTGTGATACCTCTGGATTCTGTATAAATCTACTTACCATACCTACATTTTATGCTAAGTCATGTCTTGTATGATAAAGGTGTCTTAATGACCCAATAAGTCTTCTGTATTGGGTTGGATCGACATCATCTTCATCTGCATTTTTCGACAGTTGCAATATTGGTTCTGCATGTGTCGAAGTTGAGTTACACTCTTCCATCTCAAATCTCTTGAGAATTTCTCCTGCATATCTTCTTTGATGCATCATCAAACCTCTACTACTCTTGTAGAATTCAACGCCAAGAAAATATGAAATGTCACCCAGATCAGACATTTCAAATTCCTTGCTGAGATCACATTTGAAGTCTTCGATCTTCTTCTTGTAGCTACCTATTATTAACAAGTCATCCACATAGAGACATATTATAAGAAATTCACTATTGTTTCTTCTTACATATACTCCATATTCAGTGGTGCACTTCATAAATTCCTTTTCCCTTAGAAAACTATCATTTTTCTTATTCCAAGCTCTTTGAGCTTATTTCAATCCATACAGGGATTTATATGCAACTTGTACACCTCTCTCTCTTCGTCATGTTTCACAAACCCAACTGGTTGTTTAACATAAACTTCTTCGTCTAAGGATCCATTCAGGAATGCACACTTCACATTCATCTAACATATGTGCCAACTGTTCATTTCTGCTAGACCAACAACCAACTTGATTATTTCGATTCTAGCCACAAGTGTAAAAACTTCATCGAAGTCGATTCCTTCTTTCTGGAGAAATCCTTTCGCCATAAGCCTTGCTTTGTGTCGAGTTACTTCACCTTTGGGATTCAACTTCAGCTTGTATACCCACCTCACATCGATTGCCTTCTTGCATTGAGGAAATTCGACAAGTGACCAGGTGTCGTTGTCTTCGGTGGACTTCACTTCTTCATCCATTGCTTTCATCCACTTTGAATCCTTCAATGCTTTAGCTGCATTTACAGGTTTGACATCTGCATAGAAAGCATAATGTACCAACTCACCTTCATTATCAACCACATCATCTGATGTAATCACACAATCTTGCAACCTTGCACGCATGCGTCTTGTTCTTTGAAGTCTGCTTGTACTTGGTTGATCTTTAACTTCCTCTTGATGAACTTCTTTTTTGACTTGAGTTTCTGGTTCTTCAAGTAAGATTCTCACTGAATCTTTCTTGACATTTTTTAGTCCAATCCCATTCTTTAAGCTCATCTATGATCATGTCCCTGATGATCATAATATGCTTATGTCGTACCCCAAATTTTCCCTACCTCGACGATTATATTTTCAAGATTTAAAGATAGAAGAAGATATCTTAAGTAAGAATGGTTCAACAATATCTGATGGCTCATTCTTAAATCTAAGACAACCAGGGGTGCATTTTAATTCAAGGGAATGAGACTTTCTAAATCAGGAAGATTCATATACTCGTAGGCCCATTCGCGAAGCATGTTGGACAGTGGTCCATGATATTCGAATATTAAAAGTATCTTAAAAGGAAATTAAAATTTTACCTGTATAAGGGTCCATTAGGTTGTTATTGTTGTTAGTAAAAAGAAAGGGATGAAATTTCAATTTGAAAACTTATTTCGTTTGGCCCATTTTCTCTTAGGAGTTGAATGGCAAAGAGAGGGTACGATTATGAAATTATAACCGCATCAAGTTTCTAGCCCATTTGTCCTTTTTGTATTTACTATATCATTTTCAAGAGGAAAATATAATCATTAAAAAAACAATGTCTTGTTTAAACCACTAAGGTTCTTAAGTTATCCTATTTTGATATTTTGGAAAGAAAAAAAAACTGTTTTGATTTTAAACAGTATTATTAAAATGGGTATTTTTACTTTTAATAAATGTTTTATAATTAGCTTATTAAAATATCCTTTTGTAAATTTAATTATTGATTTATGAAAAATTGTTTTTATTGTTATTGCTAAAACATTTTTTATTATTATATTTACTTTATAAATTATTAGATTTGGTAAAAAGGTTTTGTTAATTTTTTAATTAAGAGATTTTGTTTTGGGGAAAAGATCTGATTAGATCAATCTTTGGGGGGGGGGGGGGGGGGGGGGGGGGGGGGGGGTGCAATCCAAAGTACAGTAAAAAGCGTTGTTAAAATTGATGGACCAAAAACGTTTCCGCGAGTACAATTCAGAGGCCCAATAGCCTTTCTTTTGCAAATCTGTCTGAATAATCAACACAAGGCCCAAAGTTATCTAATAAACAATTATTGTGTAAATTCAACAAAGATTTGCGCACGTTTCTAATTTGCTAATAGATGTTGTAGCAATCAAAGCGGTAAATACGCATTTTGTATCATTAACATTTACTGTAGAAATTGAAACCAAATCAAATCTCAAATTATACAAACAGTCCAAGCCCATAATTGTTAACATAAAACTAAATCAAATCTATTTACAGAATTAATAAAACCAATTACAAAATTGTTGAATCAATTACAATCAATAACAACTCCTAAATTTCGTCCTAAATCTCTAGATCTAACAGCAATTCACAAATCCTAAAATGAACCCTATAAATACCAGACTAATATACAGAAAAGGGGGACAGAGGCGAAGGAAGAACTGAGAGAGCTTGAAGCTGGAAATACAGAAAGCAGATTTTCAAAGAATTGTAAAGGAGTAATTCAAGAAGAATACTCGGAGACCTCGCGACCGTCAAAGAAGAAGAGAGGAGCAATTAGGGTTTCAATATCTTAAACCCTAATCGCTATCCCAGTTGCCGCCGTTTCAACCCCTCGTCACCACCTCTACGGATCTGCAAGATCAAAAGAGAAGGGAGGATAAAAAAACAGAAATCTCGAAGAACTCAGAAAAAACGGAATCGCAGAGGGGTAAGATAACGTAGCTTTTGTTTGTTCTAGTATTGTTTTGGGTTGTATGGGTTTTTCGATTCACCGTAGGGAAGGGGTTTGATTGGGTTACGCCTCCGGAGAGTAAAGGGAGCTAGGGTTTGTGAAGAGAAAAGGAAAGAGTTTATGAGGAAGAGAGAAAGGGAGGTTTGTTGTGAAAACAAAAA